GAGAGATGGCGTTGTAGCAAATTATCTTTTGCGTGCAGTGTTTATAGTATGTCAGCGTCCACTACATCAATTCTGTAAGCACTCCGCCGTTGGTCGGCATCTGTGCTGCCAGACTGCTTCTCATACTTGAAATAATCAAGCACGAGGGCCAGACGTTTGAGAAAACGATAATGACGTTAAAAATACAAGCGGTTTATGTTAATAAACGAAGAGACACATAGATGTGTGCATCAACCTAAAGGCGCTTCTTTGTTTACGTATTTTTTTCTTCGTAGAAGGCAAGTCTTCACAATTGCAGCTAAGAGGTAGTTTCTAGTTTTCTCTCAATATTAATTTCTTTTTCTCATTGGAATTATGGGCCCTTTAAAAACTCTCAATGGTATAACATGGCAATGTATTCTTGGTGGTACATGTATTTATACTACTAGAATCAGCGATGGCCATATTCATGTACCCTGATGCAATGTGCAACATTAACCCGAAGTACATGTAAGTATAGATAATTGGGAAATAACCGGATTTTCAGACAAAGAAACATTACTTTGACAAGGTACCTTTGTTTTGTTTTTTGTTTTAATTTCTAAATGAAGTGTACGTATGTATATATTACAGTTAAGTGTATGTACTTCATAGCTCTACACCTTGATGTTTCAAACATATCAAAAAAATTGGATTGTGTAACACCAGATGACGGTCATTGACCAAGCAGAAGATAACTCAGTAAAATCGCCCGCTCCATCCGGGATCGAAAGCTACGTAAAATTGCACTTTTCTTATGCAACTTTTCATATGGCCTGCGCTATCAAACAGCCAATTATGGAATGAGTGCTTGCATCTCCTTGGCTGCGCAAACAACAGGGCAGAATGTTGATTAAATATAGCCCAAGCGTCCGTCTATATGGATATTACGTTGTATCGTGTTTTAGAATCAGTTGTTACATGATATGGCAGGCCCCGGTTGTTTTGAGGCCCAGTCGATTTACTGTGCCATATTACGTGACCACCACAAAGGCTGTGTTCGGGTGTTTTCATTTGGGTTGCACAAGTCCAGACTGGCTTTACGCAATCTACGTTTATCTTTCTCTCCTTCTTAGACCCCGGCTATAGAGAAATGGTTCGCGGATGGTCTCGTATCGACGGGATTATGCAAGATTTTGTTAGACTTCAATCAATGACGGGAGAAACTCGGTTGATAGGGCAAACGCTAGTTACGTAACGGAACGCAACGCCTGATTGAGTTCAACTGTCTGTATGAAACGGTTTTGTCGCGGTCGCCGTATAAATGATCGACTCTGCAAACACTTGAACTGACATACAGGGTTGCAGTTTTAAGGGCTGTCCGTTCCGTAACCTCTGCACGGTCGTCCTACCACATAATATATATTTGTATGTAAATGGACTGAGAAACTTACATCGATTATGTAATATTTGCCTCGCGATTTCAGCCATTACGTCATCCTGAAGACGGGGTGAATCATTTCGCTCGTTAAAGGTCGAAGGGGAGAAGGGTTCGGGGTCAGCAGCCTTTTCTTTTTTTCGTGGAGGGAAATGTGCTTGTTGTTCATTCCTCAACCAAGCAGTTATATAGTCAGATATTTCTGATTTTTCTTTTTATTCACCACGAGCTTATTCAAGCGGTCTTCACAAAGCGGCTATGGACCCTTTATCCCCTTTGCCCTCCCCCGAAATTCCATACTGCCCGGCTGGTCTGATGTTAGAGTGATTATGCAATTCCGCCTCATTCGTAGACTGGGACGACAAAATGCAGGGCAGAGAGGGCTTGACTTTTTGGCACACTGCCCGGTTTTTCTGTTAATGGCGTTCATTCTCGTTCCTTGTCCTTAACCTCCTCGGTTATTTTTAGATTAATGTCCAACGATAAATGAATGAATGAGAATATTTTTTCAAAAATGGACTTCAATGGAAGCTTGAAAATTTTGAGAATGATGGTCAATGTTGTTATTTTATATTGAGTTTGATGCTGCTGTTTCAGGACAAATGAAAAGACTCGAAATGTTAAAGAATATTTGTTATCGTCAGTAAAATTGGCGTACGCGTATGTCTTTTGATAATTTTAATATGATTAATTTTTAATTTATGCTATTTATTATAATCCTTTACAGAAAGCTCCAGGCTCCATAGCCGTTACAATAAAAATCAAATCCATTTTCTTCGTGTAAATAATACATACAAATACGGGTGTATTTAAAAGCATTTTTCTCCGTAAATTAACATCAATTAACCCATCCATCTTCACTCCTCTCTGTGAATTTGTAAAATCCAATTCATGGGGTCGGTATAATTCTTTGTATGGTTTGTGAAAGTTGAAGAGCCGTTTCCCACATTCAAAGAGGGTCAAAAAGTCAAGAGACGGGTCAGCGTGTCGTTCACAGCCAGCTAGATATTCAACACAAAGAAACTCCGGCAGTTAAACTTTAAAATGATGTCACGTACCTTGCTCTTCGATTAAGTACGAATAAAAATGATACTATGACATTGAAAGAATATAGTACTGTTACTCTGAAGTACTATGCTTGATAGTGGATATTACTAGAAACGCTGCAGGTTATAAATATACCGCGCATACAAATCGATTTTTTCACGACAAATTGAACCACAGTTCTCAAGAACTCGGGGGATTTTCTAAAATATATGATGCACCTTTTACAAAAATAAGAACACTTTTGGCGTCTATAGGGAAGGTTGTACTCGTTGAATACACTTCTGTTCCAAAAGGGTTTTGTAGTCCATTTCGTCACTGCTAAACCGAGGGAATTCATTTGTGCCTTAAAGCTAAGTGATTTACAATCAGTTTTCCGGAGGCAAAATCAGAAACTCAGTAGCTCTGGAGGTTAATTTTCCATTAAAAGCATTGTTATTCAAATATCAAGACTGATTTTTTTAATGGCACAATACTTCCTAATTTTAATTTCACATTTATAACGTTTAGGTTAATTTTTCATTAAAAGCATTGTTATTCAAATTTCAACTGATTTTTTTTTAAATGGCACAATACTTCCTTATTTCAATATCACATTTATAACGTAAGCTATTTAGTCGTACTGGCCATTAACACTGCAGTTTGGTGCACTGTCATTTACCAGTACGTGTGGTTATTAAATGTCAGTTAATGTTTCTGTGGTAACGCCAATAAATCGGTGTGTTCATGAGAAATGCTTTTACTGTGACATATTTCAAAGGCAGGTGGCGGGGAACAATCAAATGAAAAAGAGAAAATCGCCGGATGATCGTGAAACACGTAATAAGATTACTTGAATGTAAAAAGATGACTCACACTGCCCAGTTGTTTCTGTGGTTTAGAAAAAGCAGAATTGGTTTGTTTTTCGGACCACAACCGTGCACTTAAAAGCTCTCTAGGTGTCCCTCTCTAAGTACAGGTTCAAAACAAGCTTATATTTTTTTAATGATACACAGTAGGGTTAATTAAATCTACAATAAACACATTTAAGTCCTTGAATCCCCGTAAATATATTTAAAAATAAAATTTAAAAGTACACTAGACAATTTTAGTGCTAATATGACCTCATGATTATTTTTCAATTCACGGTTTATTAAGATATATATCAATCTCAGATAAAAACGATTTCTGTGTTGATGAGAGACATTTGTACAACACTAAAGGTCTTATTTTCAAGGTCTATTTTTAGGACGGCTATCTCCATCCGTATGTCAACCTAATCTGGAATTATGGATTTTAATTTTTTTTTTTTTGCGTTAAGTTAGCGTAATATTTACGATTTCCTTCTCAGTAGCATATGACACACTCTCTTAACAGCGTCCTCCTTTTTTTTTCATTAAAAATACAAAGATAACTTTAAAGTAATAAATGATTTTATTTATTATTTCTAGTAGACACGATATCTACAGCCTAGCTACCCTTACTACATTAAAACAAAACGAAAATCCCTCTGATGAGAAACAGACAATATCTGTACCATGTGGTAACTTCACTTTAGGTAAGGCTTGAACAAAAATAGGTTTCCGGATCTTGGAGACCAAGTACCTATACAAGTAAAAATTAATGTGCCAAAGCCGAATCCGTTTAGTCCCCACTCTGGAGATTGTATCTCTAGATAACTACACATGTAGTTTAAGATATTGGCAACAGAGTGAAAAAAAACTTATGATATTTTCTCAAGAGATAATTTTAGAGCAACAAGTCTTAAATGTAATATTCAAATATTGTGTCTACTTATATCTGTACCTTTTAAAAACATATGACTAGTAAGAGTAAGGAACTGATACTGCTAAGAGTTTAACAAGTACCTACCAAACATTTTAATAATAACACATATAAAAATATATACAGGGTTTTAAGACCTTTTAAAAGGTCGTATAACTTCTCAAGTTACATCCTATTTTGTTGGATTATATATGGCATATATATGAAAATTTATTTTCATTTTACCTTGAATAAGGGAAAATGTATATAATAATAAGTTACTCCTGAGTTTTTTCTTAGAAATGTTCTGAGGTAGCAAGAGAGGTAGATCAAGTTTGCGAGAATTCCTGAGATTTCTTTTGACGCCTGTATCTTTTTAAAGTTTGTGCAAGCCTTCCTTCTGAAGAGTTCAAGGATATCAGAAGATGAAACCCTGATCAAAAGAGTGAGTTGGACAGTTAATCCAAGAGTGTGCGAGATATGAGAATAACAATCAGTATAATAACAAAAAAAATACCTGTTTGTTGTCAGTTCCTGAGTGTTAAGTGGACCTTGAAGACTAAAACTTCTTTAGCAGCCTAAAATGCGCCACACATGTTAGGTCCTCAGTTAAGAAATGTTCAGAATATGTTCATCTTTCACCCAACTATAAATTGTGTCAAGGATTATTTGTCAAAATCGCGGAACATTTGTATGAGATTGTTCTCGGTCATTCACGCGTGGCCTCCCTCCATTTTCACCATCGTTGCTTGGCAACACTTAAAATTATGGAACTTGTTCAGATCTATACCGTTTCGAACGTTTTATAGTTTGTTTGTTTTTTTTTTGTCACAATATCTATACTCCGTCAACATTTGGCATTTTGAGTTGCACTACTGTTCTACTTTGCACCATTATGAAAAAAAATACAATCCACTGCTCACGAACAGGATCTGCTGTACAACATGTAGTGAAGTTTGGCAGTTTCATTTTTCAATATGGCGACTTGTGCTCTCAGTTTAAGATTTTCTTGTTCTAAAAATGCCGCTCGCATGGCAATTTCTTCCTCTTTTGCTCTCCTGGCATCTCTTGATCTCTTCGCTGCCTCGTTGTTCTTCCGTCTCCTTTCCCAGTAGGCCTCGTCCTTTTTCTCCTCTCCGGGAAAAGCGCCCAATTTTGCTCTTTTCGCTGAACCACATTCAGAGTCCGAGTCCCCCGAACTGAGAGCCCCGTTGGATGTGACGGACGTGGATGGTACCGACAGCTGTGTTCCCAGCACCGGGGACGTTGACACGGGCGAGGAGGACGACGAGACGTTAGTCGTAGTCGCTGCTGTTGATGATGTGGTGTTAGTAGTACTATTTCCTGAGGTGTTACTTCGTCGTCGACGGTTGAAGTAATTGTTGAGTGGGGATGACAGCATAGCACTGTCCAGAAGACCGGGAGCAAGTCCGTATGGCATAGTAGCAGCTGCATACGCATTGTACAACTCCGACCCTGCCGCCGCTGCCAGGGGATTCGATGCAAACATTGGCATATGTTCGAATGGATACACTTTAAATGGACGCATTCCTGATGGGTCTCCCTCGCCAGAGCCATTTTCCTGTCCAGGAGACAATTGTGGCGGAGATTTGTCTCCTCTCCCACTGGGAGACATTTTCGGGGTTTTAAGAGGCTTGACGGTAGCAACGGTGGACGCTTCTCGCTCCTCCTGATGACCGTCAGAGACGGACGCCGAGCGACTACTTTCACCGTCCGAATTGGATAAACTTGGTGACGGACTGGGTGGTACATCCTCCCGTTTCTCTAAAGCTGTTTTAGAAAAGTCCAACGCCATCTCGGCCGTGCTTGCCACAGTCGCCATGTTTATTCTTCTGTTGAACTTCACGATCTGTTACATAAAAATGTAGTGAAGATTACGCCACTCGCTTGACTATTTCTACGAATAACAGCTAGCCCCAAACATGCGTTGATTAAATTTATTCATGACAACTGTACCGCATTATCTTCAGCGGAAAATAAACACTACAAGCAAACGTTACTCTGCTTGAGTACCTTGTGGTTTTATTAATACTGTGCGAACGTAGATATTTAAAGTACAACGTACTCGCTTTAAACTTACCGCGTCCTGTCTATCTTAGATTTTACTTTGACGCTGAATGTAAAGGTGGACTCCGTCTTCATGAACCCCACCAACGCGTGCCTTCCACGGAGTGCGGTGGATGAAATGAATCGATAGTTATGGGAAGCAGTTTTCGTAACCTCCGCAATCCTGTTACCTCATATTAGCTGGGAAGATGACATGAACCTCCCTTCAGCGCGCTTAACTTATCTCCCTTTTCTTCCCTCTCATTGGACAGCTTCGACCACTCGTGGTTCAGCTCGCCAATCATGGCAGCGACCCCATTATTTTCATCTTGCGTAATATGCCAGTCATTTGCGGAAGGCTGTGGTTCACATATAGTTCAGTATGCGCGGCGCTGGCCTCTGCATCTGATTTGCATAGCGTGGTGGTGTAATATTAACGTTGGGTCGCGAAGAGCTGCGGTTTATCAATAAAGTCCAAGCCGATGAATACTGACAAAAATGCTTCCGCTTAACTAAAGGACTGGGCTCGTTTTAAAAAATTGTACGGCTGTGTGGGAAGTATATTGAATTTCACAGGTTACTCGTTACAAAAACAATATTCGTTTTACATCACTTCAGTGTTGATTATCTTTTGAATGAGCCAGATAAGAAACCGAGTGATTAAATGAATTAATATTCTGAGAAATTATCTGATTAAGACGAAATCGTCTTTTCGCTGTCTCTTGTTACATGAATGTGACGAGGAAATGAATTTACACGGTGCGTGTTGCGGTGGCAGTCTTGTTTGGCCAAAATAACGATAAACAAAAATGATAAAGTGTTGATGGTCAGCCTAAAACTGCATCAGTATTGCGTGTTTACCGACATTCGATGTCGGTACCACTTTTTTTTTCAGCTTCATCCTCGAAATTACAATGCATCAGCACATTACCAGATGTGACATCAATAAATGTTGAATCGTTATATTTTAATCCAAAAATATTTACATTTATTATTTACACCCTTGAAGTAGACAGCCGTTCATTTAGAAATGAAACTGGTACCATTTTGTTGCAGATTGCAGGATTCGATGGCCAAATGTTCTCGGTGACCTGGCCGTTTTTAATTATCTTTTGCGAGCCAAGATGTTTCTGGTGACAGTCCCACGACGATCCCTAACTTGGTATGTGGTGACAACATGGGGGATTATTACGACATTAGGATATCTTCACTTTTTCCCCATGCTATCTTTAACGTATCAAAAGTTACTTATGTAAATTGCATCTAAATTACTGAGCACACTAAATATGTTAATGTGCATTGTTTAAGCTGGCACTGATACTATGGTCTAGGGAGTTGATAAAAGACGTAGATACAGATTATTATATAAGTTTTAAGATATTCGATTACATAATAGTCTTGAAGACTGCTCGTCATCCACAATGACTTGGTCAACAACATGTGGGAAGTCACGCAATGTAAAACATCGGATCGTTTTCCTGCTGTTAATGGCAGCATTCCATGTCGTATTTTTTCCTAAACATTTATCTTCTTTGTTGAATCATTATGCAGTGGCCACTGAAGACCAGTCATATCCTTCTATTCAATTATGTTTATGCTGAAGGTCGAATATGTTATGCTTTTTTCAGTTGCATTGACCCACGTGTTACCGTCCAGTGAAAAATCGTTGTTGTTATGCAAGGGTGATTTTTTTTTTCAGTTTTCAGTGAACTGAGGCTTGTTTCCTCCCTTCAAGGTCTCCTAAAAATCCATTTAAACAAAGACACCTCGGCTGTTTCCCTGGTCATCGTTTCTTGAGGGAGGAACTAGACGCCCGCTATGCGTCAGCCATATCGCACCCGTACAACCAGCCTCTTCTACAAATCCCTTGGGTCAGACGCATATATCACGATGACACGGAAATTGTCTGTCTGGATTCTCGACTACATGTATGATTGGCAATTGTCTTGCGTTTTTTAGTTGTAGTTGTTGATTGTTTTCATCTTTTAAATCGCAAATTAATGGGTCTGTATGTATAGTCTGTAAACCTTGTTGTTTACTTTATTTTACAAAATCCCATTAATAGAGCTTAAATTATTACCTTTGGGATGTACCCTCTAAGAATTTGAAAAGGGTAGCTTTTTGTCTTTTAATTTTTTCTATTTTGTTTGCTGGTGAACTCGTTTCTCTTATATTTTACTTTTTTTTTACAAAAAGGCCTAGGAAATATTAGGAGGCTTTAAGCGGCATTTTTAAATGTCAAAAAAATCTGCAAATTGCAGATTATAGATGCATAACAATAAACTTTATTTATTGTTATGCATCTATAATTTAAGTCCGTTTTTTTTTTAACTGACGCATCTGTGTGTCACCTTAACATGATTCACCTACAAGTATTCATTTACTGTCCATTTCCAGCGTGTCCGAGACAAAGCAGATTCTGCAAAGATATGCAGACGACATTTAGCGCTGAAACAACGACACGACATTTTGTGTGCACCAGTTACATGGCACCGACGTGGCATCTTATCGGAGAGAATAATATATCTCGCCTCCCCATCTCTCGTGTAGGATGATCTCAATTTTTCTGCTGAGTTATGTAATTTTTTTTCGTTTCCCGCCCCTCCCAGTCCGGTTAGTGATGCCGGTGTCGTAATAATTATCCCATTAAAGCCAAAAACAAATACAATTGGCCAAAAGTATCGGCCTCAAAATTGCAGCTCAACATGCGTTTTGGTAATCACACTTTGTAATTTCATTTTTATCTTTCGAGTTGGGTGCTTTTATGAGTCAGGAATCACATTATGACGGTGGGCCCTGGCTCATTTTTTAGTTTAATAAAGTGCTCCACGACCGCGGCTTGACCGCTCACACCGACTGATGATTCTTACAGTGGTATAGGGATAGTGTAACAAAATGCTCTGACCTTTGGGAAACGAAGCCAGAGTGCCTACTTACAACCATTGAGCCTTTTTCGACCTTATTATAATTAAAAACAATCATTTTTACATGACATTTAAAACCAATATCTTTGTTCCATTGGACAAAATGAAATTCGCGCCTAGGATGTTTTTCATTTTCTTGGTTCCTTGAATGCCTTTCAGATGATACGGTCACTTCCAACTGACCGTATCTTATGCTATTTAGGGCCCGATTTGCTGTGCAACTTTTCTTGACTTTTCATTTGTTTCGGGCGTCATATTTACATTTTTGCTTTATCGTCATTGATCTCCCTTGAGAGAATTAACCAAATGTATGAAAGTCGCACAGTCATTGACCATTCATTTGTTTTCCGGATACGAATGTAACATTTGTTGCCCGCACGTTATTTTCCAGGCTTTATGACTTATTAAAAGAAACAAATCGCTGATTTTACGTAAGATTTGCGTGTAGCATTATTTATTCAGAAAAGGCAGGAACTGATTTCGCCTGCTTCTTTGATGTCAGCTACGATCATATTCAGCCAAAAATATCATATAGCTCGGAATCACTCTTGGATGTTTTTTTTTTAGTTTTCCTGTTTCCCCATAAAAACAAGGATATACCTTCAACCCAAAGCTGTTTATGACTTAAATGCCATAACGACTGTTCACCTATACGCTCACAGGGGTCAAAAAGTCATAGTGACGGATTAAAAACATATCACCATTCTAGAAAGCATCATGCATGTATTCTGTTATGATATTTTGCTCGAGTGCACTTGCGCTGTGACCTTTCATATTTACGTTAAAAGGAAAGAAACCTCATTATAATTCATAGAAACCCAGTGCACTTTCAAATATTGTTTACTAGTTCAAGTGACTCCAGTGCAAACTAAAATTCAGTAAGTCTCTCCCCAGTGAAGTGCTTTTTTCAGTAAAAATTACTGAAAATGAAGATCGGTCGTGAAGGGTAATCTGCAGGATTGAAAGATAAGAGGATCAAAATTAATGTAACATTGATAGCATATAGTTTTAAAAGATACAATGAATAGATAGCTGTTAAGAGGTTTGATATCAAACGTGGCAGTTAATAGTGTTTAACCATTAGCATCAGGTCCCACGCAACTGAATGCATGTACTCCCCTTTTGTGGCATTCAATGCAGTTTAACGTGACTTACTTGGCTGTTTACGAATTTGCATCAATTACTGCAAGACTTGTAATAAAAAAAGATGGCAACACGCCCCTGAATAAACGAGTAAATAAATCTTATATTCATCACTACTTCGCTATGTTATACTAAAATGAAAGAACAATGAGGTATGACAAAGTACAAAATATTATGTAAAACCTATCTTCAGTTTATCGAATGAGGGTCTTTTTCTTCATTTCTTTGTTTTAACATTTTTCATTCTTCATTTTTATTCGTCAAGCTTTTTATGAATAGGAAGATGGTGTTGTTGTGCGAAGCAGTGCAATATTGATACGGATGAAGATAAAGACGGCCCGCACTAAAGCCATTCCACGCGTTCCCTCTACGATCCATATATATGACACATCGTTGGTCTGTTTTTTTCCCTCTCGTCCACCCGCAGGTTATGCATATTGCATGACTCCAAACTATGTAAGTCAGTAGGGCGATCAGTCAACGTAGTTCACATAATATTATCTTGTGGTTGCAGTAACCTTTTTCACCTTGACCGGGCTTTAGTCCCCTTGTCTGGCTTTGATGGATGGAGTTTCCTTTAATTGGATTTGCGCCTGTCGTTTTTTATGATGCAATGTTTAAAACAACCTAGGTTCAGCTGTGTGCCGAAGGGAATCATTGGACTTTTTAACTGTATTCATTATCTACGTCGCCCATAATCAACAAAAACAGTTATGTATTTAGTTTCAATTCATTTTCAAGTGAAGTGATAGAAGTGGGTAGAATAAAAAAAGAAGTGATATAATCTTAAAATTCGGTTTCTTATCTCTAACGTTTTTATCCTGGAATACATGTACATTTTATCCAGGAATACATATACACCTTTATCCTGGAATATATGTTTGCTTGAGATGGTTGAAACCAAGCTGATATGTCTTTACATGTAATCCGATTACGCATTTAGTATTTCTAGTACACTCATTGATATATCAAATCAGGGTTGTTTAAGTTCTCTGTTTTTCATATATACACTGAACCCTCTCTCTCTATAAATATATCATCTCATAAAAACACTTCTGTGAGCAAGAGAAATACAGATGCCTTTTTTCTGTTGCTGTTTAATTTTTGTCATTTTACGTTGTGTTTTACTCAATATAATGGCCACATAAAATCAATAGAATGACACCAATGGCAGAAAATGGGCCAAACTTTTTAACCTTTGTT